AATAATTATATTTGACCCACTTATCAGAGCTATTAGTAGCCGCTTTATACAATATTTTCTTTTTCTTAGATAACTTAATCATCTCAAGCGTTATCCATGGGTATTTCGCCCTAACCTTAGCTTTACGTTGAGGTACAACTTTAAAAATTTCCATGAGAAACTTATTTTTAAAACATTCCCATGCAAAGTTAACATCATCAGTTTCAAAACAAACACTTTAAATGTGTCATGATCACTGTCACCGATTCCAGGATGAGGAAGAACAGAAGTTATAATATTGCACCTATTTGTATATAAATGACCAACCAAAGTACCATCGTTAGAGAATTTATTCTTTCTTCGAGTAACAAATGTTACTAACTGATCAAAATTTAGAATACTCAGACTTCTTGTTGGACAGCATTTTCACCAACTGGAGTGGAATGGTAGAAGCAATCCACATAGCCAGATATCCTAATTAATCCCTTCTGGTCACCCTAAGCCCTGTTGACACATGATTTTACTCCTTGTATACAAATGGCGGCCATTTTTCTAAATGGCCACCAAATTTATCTAAAATGTGCATAAATAAAATTGGAACTAAATAACCTACGAAATGATTTTGGTGTCTAAACTCATAATTTTTAGACAGGCAACAAACTAGACATATAAAAACTACTGTCACTCAAGCCAGAATGGAACATAATTTAAAAAAATAGGTGTTTATTTGTTTAAAAATAATCGCAAAATATACTTACTTACAATGTACATAAAATAAGAACGAGTATATAAGCTAGTTTCTTATGTAATCCAGATAGATTTTTGTGCAAAAATAGATTTTATTGACTAATTTTATCATTTTTACTGCGCTGAATTTAAAAAAGTTAAGTGCCATTTTTTTCCCAACGTCATCAGCCGCCATTTTGAATTTCAAGATGGTTGACGCACCACATAAAACATGGTCATTATTGGTGTCAATGGAAAGGGAATTATACACTGATCATTTATTGTCATTACACCTAAACAACAATACAGGTGAAATGTCAAAATATCAAACTTCCGAAAAGTTGTCTTGTTTGGTATCATTTGAAAGCTCTGCCAATGATGAGTTATGTTTTCAGGTATATACGTATTAGAAACTGTGCAGTTTTCCATATATTGTCCTGTAAATCTAATTATTAAATAGAACAAATCCCACAAACACACTCTTTGGCTGATTTATTAGAAGGGGTCAGTCCAACTACAACCCATCATTTTACTATGAAGGTTTGACCTGATACACCTGTGTGCTTTCTGGGAAATGCTTTGTTCCTCCGAGTCCAAATGAACCCAGGAAATGCCAGGGGCCCCACTCTTACTTCATGGTGGCCAAGGCAAATACAGTAGGCCTATGTTGTGTTTTCCTACTTATTGATGATTCTACATACATGAACAATGATACCGCATGTTACGTGCTGTACAATATATTTGATTGGCCGATTGATTTGTTATAACATTAATAGGCATGGTCCTCCCAGTGGTGCAACAATGAGTTGTGGGTCCCGGGCCGAAACAATCACCATGCATATCAGTAAAATATTTTTGCTCACGAAGTGACACCTGGGTGGGTAAAACTTTAATTATTAGACAATGCCAAAAAATGTTTTGTGAATAATATTTTGCATGCACATT